ACAAAACCCTTTCCATAACCACAAATACAAGGGACAAAACCCTTTCCATAACCACAAATACAAGTGACAAATACCTATCCATAACCACAAATACAAGGGACAAAACCCTTTCCATAACCACAAATACAAGGGACAAAACCCTTTCCATAACCACAAATACAAGCGACAAATCCCTTTCCAAAACCACAAATACAAGGGACAAAACACTTTCCATAACCACAAATACAAGGGACAAAACCCTATCCATAACCACAAATACAAGGGACAAAACCCTTTCGATAACCACAAATACAAGGGACAAAACCCTATCCATAACCACAAATACAAGGGACAAAACCCTTTCGATAACCACAAATACAAGGGACAAAACCCTATCCATAACCACAAATACAAGGGACAAATCCCTTTCCATAACCACAAATACAAGCGACAAATCCCTATCCATAACCACAAATACAAGGGACAAATCCATATCCATAACCACAAATACAAGGGACAAAGCCCTTTCCAATACCACAAATACAAGGGACAAAACCCTTTCCATAACCACAAATACAAGGGACAAAACCCTTTCCATAACCACAAATACAAGGGACAAAACCCTTTTCATAACCACAAATACAAGGGACAAATCCCTTTCCATAACCACAAATACAAGGGACAAATCCATATCCATAACCACAAATACAAGGGACAAATCCCTATCCATAACCACAAATACAAGCGACAAATCCCTTTCCATAACCACGAATACAACGGACAAATCCCTGTCCATAACCACAAATACAACGGACAAATCCCTGTCCATAACCACTAATACAACGGACAAATCCCTATCCATAACCACAAATACAAGCGACAAATCCCTATCCATAACCACAAATACAACGGACAAATCCCTGTCCATAACCACAAATACAACGGACAAATCCCTATCCATAACCACAAATACAAGCGACAAATCCCTATCCATAACCACAAATACAAGGGACAAAACCCTTTCGATAACCACAAATACAAGGGACAAATCCCTTTCCATAACCACAAATACAAGGGACAAAACCCTTTCCATAACCACAAATACAAGGGACAAATCCCTTTCGATAACCACAAATACAAGGGACAAAACCCTTTCCATAACCACAAATACAAGCGACAAATCCCTTTCCATAACCTCAAATACAAGGGACAAATCCCTTTCCATAACCACAAATACAAGCGACAAATCCCTATCCATAACCACAAATACAAGGGACAAATCCATATCCATAACAACAAATACAAGGGACAAAGCCCTTTCCAATACCACAAATACAAGGGACAAAACCCTGTCCATAACCACAAATACAAGGGACAAAACCCTTTCCATAACCACAAATACAAGGGACAAAACCCTTTTCATAACCACAAATACAAGGGACAAATCCCTTTCCATAACCACAAATACAAGGGACAAATCCATATCCATAACCACAAATACAAGGGACAAATCCCTATCCATAACCACAAATACAAGCGACAAATCCCTTTCCATAACCACAAATACAACGGACAAATCCCTGTCCATAACCACAAATACAACGGACAAATCCCTGTCCATAACCACTAATACAACGGACAAATCCCTATCCATAACCACAAATACAAGCGACAAATCCCTATCCATAACCACAAATACAACGGACAAATCCCTGTCCATAACCACAAATATAACGGACAAATCCCTATCCATAACCACAAATACAAGCGACAAATCCCTATCCATAACCACAAATACAAGGGACAAAACCCTTTCCATAACCACAAATACAAGGGACAAATCCCTTTCCATAACCACAAATACAAGGGACAAAACCCTTTCCATAACCACAAATACAAGGGACAAATCCCTTTCGATAACCACAAATACAAGGGACAAAACCCTTTCCATAACCACAAATACAAGCGACAAATCCCTTTCCATAACCTCAAATACAAGGGACAAATCCCTTTCCATAACCACAAATACAAGCGACAAATCCCTATCCATAACCACAAATACAAGGGACAAATCCATATCCATAACCACGAATACAAGGGACAAAACCCTATCCATAACCACAAATACAAGGGACAAAACCCTTTCCATAACCACAAATACAAGGGACAAAACCCTATCCATAACCACAAATACAAGGGACAAAACCCTTTCCATAACCACAAATACAAGCGAACAGAACCCTTTCCACAAGCATAAGACATCTCTGTTCATTGTATGATTCCGACTACACGATAATACTATCAAATAATGATAATACCATGTGTTCTCGAAAACGTGAGCGCAACCTGTCCCACTGATTGCACCCGTCTTCAAAAGGCAAGTCAATTGTCCACCTGGAAAAAACACAGAAACAAACTTATGGTACAAGCCAAAATAGGAATTGCATCAAACACCATTTTTGTCACTGATGCGTCATATTTGGAAATGTTCTCCACAATGTCTACCATTAAACTTTTTGAAAGCTTCACTTTAAGGCCTTGAACGTTTTAGTAAGTAAAGAATTGCGAGTCGTATAACGCTCTTTGAAATCTTCATACTCAGAAAGACAATGCTTGAATGTACCTCAAAGTTATGACATGATGAAAGTGAGAACATGGTATTAACACGTCCCTCAGTCCTGTAAATTGAAATCAAGCCTCATCATTCCCCGAGGGGTTGAACGTGTGAACGTGTGGACGTGTGGACGTGTGAAACTGAGGGGACAGGAACGTCGCACCTTGGGAACAATTTCTTCTCTCGACAAATTTACACCGTCAGTTTAATCAGTGAACAAATCAATATACTAGTATATATAACGAGCAAAACACAACTTTCAGGAAAGCGATTCAAGTTGTCCAGGTAAGAATACACTGAATTTTCTCCTCATTTCACGCATGGTCAGAAATCAAAGTAACTGTCATCATTTTTGTATTTATCACTTTAAAGTTAAAATATTTAAAGGGAACCGATTGCGTAATTGTTCTGAAGATGACTCCAAATGCTTTCTTAGCATTAAATCAAAAAAAAATATTATTGTAATTTTACATTCCGATTTTGATGGACCTATTATTGGCCAACAGAACCCTAATCAAGGCTGTGTTTTCCATCTGTTCGTTACTTGTAACTATCACAGTGGAATTCATTTGATTTATCAATAAGGACAAGATCAGGTTTGTTGGCCTGGATATGTATGAAGCTGCACACGGGCCTATTTCAAAGAATTTAGTTTTTATCATATGTACACTCCATATTCTGGGTCAAAACCACAAGCATTGCGAAGGCGGTAATAAAATGATCGAGCTACTCCATCATGTGCTTATCATCATCATCATCATCATCATCATCATCATCATCATCATTATTATTATTGTTGTTGTTGCTGCTGTTATTATTTGTGTACACAGAGATTAACTCTCTATATGAAGTTCTATATATGTGTATATGTACGTCAGATTGAAAGAATAACGCTGGACTCCAAAACTCTGTCTTCATTTTAGCCTTGCACTCTTGCGATGGGCGAGTAGTTTCACCAGCAGCAATAGAATAATAAACTGGGCGGCAAAAGAAAGTATAGGTCGAGTTCAATGATCGATAAAAAAAATAACAAGAAGAGGTTTTTTTGTGAATTATAATATAATCTAGGGAGGGGTAACAAATGATCAACCACAGTTTGAACGAAATTGTGCAATCACAGGTAATGTAAGCTCAAGGTAAAGAATTGTGGGGTAAGAAATTTCATTTTCAAAAGTTGTCTGAAATGTCACCAAAAAATTGTCAGACACACTACAAGTTCATTGTCGACACAGTTGCCTTCAATAGCGCGTATGACCTCCAGCTGCCTCAATGCATGCTGTGATACGCCGCCTCATCGATGACGTCAGTCTTCTGATGACGTGGACTTGAATCCGTTGCCACTCGTCTCTCAGGGCCTGCTGCAATTCTTGTCTGATGGCGTGCTCTAATCTGTCTGTCAAGATGGTCCCACAGATGTTCAATAGGATTCATATCGGGTGAGTGGGCAGGTCTGGGCAAAACGTCAACGTTCTGCTGGTTTAGAAAGTTCCGAGTCAGTCTTGCAGTATGGGGCCTGGCATTGTCGTGTTGAAACAATGTCCCCTGCTGTTGGTTTTGTAAGAACGGAAGCACAACTGGCTGCAACACTTGGTCTCTGTACTGCACAGCGTTCAGGTTTCCCTGTATAATCACCAAATCAGTCTTCTGATCTCCACAAATACCGCCCCACACCAATGGATGGACCTCTCGAATACACGCCGGAGCCAAACGTTCCCCTCTGCGTCGATAAACTCGTTCTCTGCCTTCATGTAGAAACAAGTTAAACCGACTTTCATCAGCAAACAGCACTCGACGCCAATTTCTCACTTGCCAGCGTCGAACCTGCCTTGCCCATCGCAGCCTCAGGCGTCGATGTTGAGCAGTCAGTACAATTCCTCGGAAAGGAATTGTACGCTGGGATTCCAGCAGAAGGAAGTCGTAGTACTGGCACGTTGGCTAATGGGATGTCCCAACGCTGTTGCTGCCGTCGCCGTTACGAATCTGTTTCGCAGGTGAATGAGCCGTATCTGACCGTCTTCCAGTGGTGTTGTCACTCGGGGTCGTCCGGTTCTAGGCCTGTCCTGTGTCCTCCCTGTCTGCCTGTACCGTTGAATCAGCTTGGCTACTGTCTATGGTGTACAACCAAACCTTCTGGCAATTTGGACCTGTGTTGCCCCCATTTCGGCCATACCGATGGCTCTCTCTCTCTCTCTGCTCCTGTGACAGTCGTGGCATTTCTTTTGTATGCTTTCACCACGTGTGGTTATACCCTGCAGACGAACGCATTTATACAGCTAACATGCACGTGAAGTTTATGCCATAGGCTGGAAACCTGTTTCACCATTTTTTTGTAACCGCACGAGCGCCGTCAAAAGTGGCGCGTTCGGGTTAAGTGTTTTTTTGGTACCTGTTCCTGGGCAGTCATATTCCCAATACCCACTTTCCACTAGTTATCGCTGTTTTGGGGAAAATTAAAAATTGCCAACCTATACTTTCTTTTGCCGCTTAGTTTAGATGTAGGCTCCCAACCGCTGATAACAGAAGGATGGAAGGCTCCCGCTGAAGAGCAGGAGCCAATAAATTTGATTATTTAAATAAGATGTAAAACATTAAACATTCCAGGTTGACTTTTACGCAAATGTTAAATGAAGTGTTTCAGTTTCAACGATGACGTCACGTATGATAATAGTCTTACTACTGGCAATACTCCCACTGGTTACCATGGAGAATACAACCATTGTGGAGTCTGTGGGTCGTCATGACAACGTAACGACCCCTACACCACTCTGTCGGAATGGATCTCTTGTCATTGGCACAACCAACACCACAGATGGATGTGACGACATTGCCGACGATGACATGCCCGAACCAAGCAGGAAGACAGCCCGCGGTGATTATGTCGGCTATGTTATCGTGCCACTCTTCTTCATCCTCGGCCTCTGTGGCAACACTCTCAGCGTCGCCGTCATGATCAGCAAGAAGTTCAGGAATAAGACCAGCAGTCTCATCCTCATCGCGCTGTCGGTTTCCGACTCCGTTTTCGCCTGCATAACGCCCTTCAACAAAACGTTCCTCAGGAACCTGTTAGGGTTTGATGTAAGAGCTTTGTCGTCTTTCGGTTGCTCCCTCTTCTTCATCGTCCACAAGACCAGCAAGATGTCCTCGTCCTGGTTCGTTGTCTTCATCAGCTTTGAACGGTTCGTCGCCATCGTCTTCCCTCTCAAAACAAAATTCATTTGCACGAAAAGAAATACCATCATCGGCATAGCGGTCGTCTTCATCGGACAACTCATCTTCAATAGTATATGGGACTTTAATACGAAGATAGTTGACGGCATCTGCATCCCAAACTACGGAACGCCGGAGACGGCGGTCCTCAGCAAGACATACCTGGTTATAGGAACCTTCTTGTACTCACTACTTCCGGTTGGCATTATGTTGGTCTTGACACCAATAACAGTATTCGTACTTGTACGTCACCATTCGATGAGACGGGCCATGTCTAAGTCCGGAAGCCAGCGGGATGATACGGTTAAGTTGACAACCATGTTAATCGGAGTTACCATCGCCTTTATCATCCTCGTCACGCCCATCTCCATCGCTCACAACGTCTCCTTCGCTCTTGGGGAGAATATCTTTGAGACGCAACACTTTGGGATGATGGTTGCCCGAGAGATCCTACAGGTTTGTGATATTCGAACATAGAAGGAAAATATGCCTGTATTTATTTGTAAATGCATGTAAATCACAAAGCCAAATAATATTATTGCAATGCACACAAAACACATCTCAACTTTTGATTCTGACGTGTTGAATCTGTATGTGCGCTGTTTCAAATATACTGACAGTGAAGTTTATTTCCCTATATGTTTCATTGTTCCCTTATTAGTTTCCATCAGTATATGACATTTTAAATCCTCAACAATTGTAAATTTCCATTCACAATCATCAAGACACATTTATATAACTTTATGGCTAAAATTATATACATTAACATCGCGATATGGCTAAAATATTGCCGATGAAACTTTAAATCTCACGCCAATACATTTACAGAAATTTGTCAACAAAATTTAATTTTTGTAAACGTTGCGTTTTCTTCCAGTGTTGTTCCAGGATGGTAAGGTAACATAAACAGTTGCTGTGACCAGGGTAGTTTGGTGCACACCTTCATTCAACGTTTATTTTCATGCTGTGTGGAATTTTGTGATATCTTTAATATCTATTTCAAACATATATATTTTTTTTTGTCCCTTGAAAGCAGGAGCCGATCATTTAAATAACATATTTGTTAAATCAGAGGAAAATTGTTTTCTCCAATTTTCACTGGATCCTTTTCTTTGGACACAAAAACTCAGAGAGTTTTATGTTATAAGTGTTTTAGTTCATCAAAGTAATAAACTGATGAGAATTTGTACCTCTCCGTTTATTCTATCCTACGATTTTCAATTGAAAATATGTTAAGTTAGCAATATCATATTTCAAAATATTACTGTACTGGCGCTTAGTCAGCACTCAAAGAATACTTTATTTAATTAAATATAATTTGATTTAGAAATGTCAATTTTTTTTGTCTATTCTCCAGGTCATGGAACAGTTGAATTACTCAGTCAACTTCCTGCTTTACGTCATGTGCAGTCAGGACTTCCGGAAGAAAGTGGCCGAACTTCTCTGTCAACTGCGAGGGCGCAAATCCGCAAACGTGTCCCAACCCAAGACAGCGTCGACAACCCCCGTGCCGATTTCTTCGACCCAATGATTGCTTTAACGTCCATGATTAACATACTGGTCATTTATTTTGTGTGCGTGCTTGCGTGCGTGCCACGACAAGCATGTGTTGCTGGAGGTCAAATATATTGATTATTAAATATTTTTGATCTATCAAATATTGTGTTATGTTGTGTTACACTGGTCGGTTGGTTGGTTGGTTGGTTGATTAAAGGCCCCGTAAAATTGTTAATATCCCATAGTCCTCACCACCTAAAATAGAATCACGAAACATCGCATTTTTTAATTAACAAATATAAATATAACTGCATGTGTTCTAATACTTATAAAGTGAAAACAAGCAATTCTTGCAAAAGAAATATTGACGAGAGTAACTGATAGAAGCGTCAGTAAACGGTCTCGATGCTTGATGTGAGTTAACTTGTACCAAAAGTACCAAATACTGGGTTAAGTTCATTTGCTGTTTCAAGTAGATTAAAACGTTGATCAGAATAAAAGTCACAGGAAATGAGAAATAGGTCGCATCTTCACGTGTTTCTGTAACAAGCTAATATTTTAAAATATATATAGCGTTTCGGGATATTATAACCCGTGTTCGTTTCTCAACTGGTCACTTATTTGGTTTCAGTTGTTTCACATAGCTGTCAAAGGTCAGCTGAGAAAGCCCACGTGACAACTGTTTTCATAATGTCCACGGTTCTTTAAAAAATCCATTGAGTTAGATAACAATGAGCAGTCAATCAACGTATTATCGATTAATCCTTTGAACAAAGTATGTTGGTTTTACATCGGCACTTCACGCCATGATGTGAGTGTGTTCCGTCTGCTTTAGTAAACCTACGCATGTAAACACTTACTTTTGACATATCCACTGTGCAAGATAATAGTGATTTACAAACAAGTAAAGCAACTGACCATTCATCTCTTGCTGGGCTGCCACGTGCATATTGCATAACACACATTTCACCTCACTTCAAACCTGGATTAGATTAAATAATTACCCCAGACACAAGAAATGCCAAATGGGAACATTTATCAGGTAATTTAAGTGGTGCTGCCACTAATTATACCTCTAATAAATTCATTAACTGAGCATCAAGTGAATAACGACAAATACACAAGTGTGGGGTTATACCAGGGAATGGATGACAACAAGGGAGTAGTAATCGTATTATCGCCGCAATCCGAAATCCGAAAATGCTTTCACTGCAGGGATACTACTAGTAGTATTAAACTATAACCATCAGATGTCTTCCCAAATAACGACATCCGATGAGCTTCCGCCGTTCTTTTTGTCTGTTTGTTTAGGCTTAAGAAATTAATTAACATGCGCTCTTTTTTCGGAATCTTCATAGATCACGGATAACCAATCAGTGTTAAAAATGCGTAAAACAAATATTGCCTCCAAGTTTATTGAGCTGTCCTTGCAGACGGTAGCCCAGTCTCTTGTCACGCTCAGTTGCGTTAGCGAGCAAATCGATTCAAGGCAGCAAGTAAGCCATGGCCGGCAGTGAAAGACAGCCGAGTAGAAGACAGCTTCCCCTTCAAGCGTGGCAAATTTCACATTGTCTTTATTTTAAATGCTTGAAACGACATTTTAAAAACTCATTTATTTCATGACTGAATCTGTCCTTTTATTGACAGCGTTGACAAATAATACAAATAGTTTATATGAAATATTTATAATAAAATTATGAAGGAATGCCATATCCAATATGTCTAAGAGATGTATAAAAGTATTTCTAAACATATACCAGCAAGAGAGTGAGATCTAAATGATTTGTTACCCCACAATAGATCAGCTGCTTCAAATTATAACCTACGTAACAAACAGAACATGACTGTACATTTTGCCAGAACAAGAACATTTCAGAAATAATTTATAATAGACTCTTTAAACAATGGAATTCACAAAATGAAAATATTAAAAATAGTATCTCTGTAGCTGAATTAAAAACAAAAATTTATCCAAATGTTATTAAATCTCCATAACTCCAATCTCAGTTATATTTTTTTATTTTGTAAACTTTTTTTTTCTATTAGTTTTGGTATTCGTTATAACTTTGATTTTGATGTAAAACAATAACATTCCATGTAATTATCACAGCTTAGTTATATTCTATATTTACGCCCTTCACATAAATTTAAAATGTCTATTAGTTTATTAACTACTGTGTTATTATATAAATATATTAAATCTCCTCCCCAAATGTAACATTGTATACCAAAAATATAAATTCATCATATGTATATATGTATATGTATGTGTGAGTGTATGTAGGTATATGTGTTTGTGTGTAATACTGTGTATATATATGAATATGTGTGTGTGTTATTATATTTTCTCATTAATTGTGTGTAATTCCTATGCATTGTACATTTATTCTGCACTATCATTATTCACATACCACAATGTAATGAAATGTATATAGGAGAAGGCCTCGTAAGTGTGTCACTTGTGCCTAATCCATTGATTTTCCGCAATAAAATATGTTTAAATCAAATCAACAGATTGAGACCATGTTGATATTCAAACCCCGCGGGGATTCCAAAGTTCCCAAGGAGCATATGTTTGTCGTAAGAGGCGACTTCATGGATGGCGTGATCAGACTTGGTAACTCTGTTGACTGGTTCCCTCGTACCTCGACCGCGTGGGTCTTTCCTCACTATACCAATAAATAGTTTGCCCGGTGAAGCCGCCATTTTGGTGCAATATTGCTCAGTGCGGCGGTAAACAACAAACAAGCTGTAATATTAAAAGCTCGTACAAATTTATGTTTAGAAAAAAAGGAAGAATCTCATCAGCTAATGTAACACACACACACACACACACACACACACAAATACACACACACAGATATATATATATATTTATCATATAATGGGTAGGTTTCTCGGCAGGATAAAGCCAACGGATAAAAACGATATCCGTTGGGGTCATATGCGGATAGAGATGCAAATATCAAAGGTCAAGTAGGGACTACTTTTACTGTTTATAAACAAACATGGCGTCGCCCTTGTCATTCGGCGATCGAGTCAGAATTAACCATCGGGAATATGGATAAACTACAGGGATAATTGCTATCAAAAGAACAGTCATATAAACTGAGAATCAGTGTCTAACTGTGACGTAGCTAAGGCATTTTATAAGTTTTGGCAACTTTGGCGATATAAATTTCGAAACAATTTTGCGAGGGCACGAGGCCTAGCCAAGCGGGATCAGTAACCATATCTGCAGCTTGAAACCTTCTCCACAAATTAAAATAGTTGGATTTGGCCGAAATATGTTTGAATTGTTACCTTGTTTCGTTTTGTCGCTGTGTGTACATCTGATAACACTTCTTAACGTTATGACAGGACCGACCGACTGTCAACAACGTCTGACCGTGGCCGTGACGTCTCATTGACTAGGGTTAGAGTAGCTTCCCTTTGACAAAGGGCAGTTACTCGAGCGGACAGACCGATGGATTGCCGCGAAAGGCAATTAAAAACAATTGTTGTTTTGCGTATATGTTGCTTCGCCACTGTATAAGAAACAGATTTCAGTTGGAACTATATTGGTTTCTGTCACTGTCCGACTGACACATCACTTACCCTGTGACGTAATAAATATTAATGCGCGCATTCCAGGAAAACTCGCAATGTTTCGGTAATGTTTGTGAGAGAGGGAAAGCGATTTTGAAGCACAGAATTAAAGAATGACATTATATGATAAAGAGGTTATCACGCTTGTGTGTTTGGGGATGGTAAATATCCTGTATTTGGAATAAACACTATGTATTTAGCTCGCCAAGGCTCGCTAAATACAATGTTTATTCCTAATGCAGGATATTTACCATCCCCAAACACACTCGCGTGATAACCTCTTTATATACGTCAATTTTAAACTGATTTTTTTACAATAACTTTCTCTTAAAGCGGTATCAGATAATGACCCACATATATATATTTATACCAATTGAATCTATTTGAAATGTAATACCACTACCCTAATTTTGATATCAATAAAACATCTACACGATAATAAAGCTCAGTTAAATATAATTGTTAAAGCTAGCTATGGAAGTTGGTTGTCTCTATATATGTCAGTGCCAGCTGGTTTACATCAAATATATTCCCCAGAGCATAATTATTATGTAATAAAAGCTGGTACTCAAACCAACCTCAGCTGAACTGACATAGACCTTCATTGTGTACTTTTGATATTGGCCATGAATATCATGACAAATATGAATGACATGAGCAAATTTAGCCGTCTCTGTAGTTACATGTTCTAATATTTCAGTAAAGCATGTGGGTTTTTTTATCGAAATTTTGAAATTTCGTTTAAAAATTGTCTTTTTGTAAATATTGCAAAATCATGCAGACTAAAATGTCCGCAACAAAAGCGTGTTCCAATTAATTTAAATACTCGGGATTATATTGACCGAGGTACCCATATCCTGACGCGCCTTCTGATTGGCTTGCGCCGTTTCGACGCGTGGCGGCCTTGTAGGTTACGGAAACATGCGAGTGGTGACGAGTGGGTACTTTCGGTTCAACTCCCAAACCCGGAAGTGTCGCATATTGGGGGCCGTGCAAACATGTCAACACCCGTAACTGTTGAACTGATCACATATCCAAATGTGTCCAAATCCACGATAACTACGAAAATGGCGGGGTTTAGGAGATTTACAAATTAAGTACATCCTTGCCAAGGGATCGTGAATATTAAAGGCATTTCACGTGAGTATTTCTATCAAAAACGAATTGATCTTAATTTAGATTTTTTTAATTACAGATTTCGGGTCTTTGCTAAAGAGGAACATAATTAAAAATACATGTCACCCCAAATTATGACAGTCTCTATATAGGGGAGTGTCATAAAATATGGACAATTTTGATAAAAGAGATAATATCAAATTTCGAAGTAAGTTATTTTGAAGCAAGTATTCATGTACTTTCTGTTTCTCTTCAAGGAACTGAGATGTCAGCTATTGCGTCAGTTTCGTGGTATAATCTCAAATCATGTGTCCCAAATCATGTCAGTATCAGCTGTTGAACTGTTTCCAGCATTGGCTCTATGAATAGAATGCTGACAGCCACTGACTGACTATTTCTCCTTCCTCCAGTCATGCAAACAGGTGACTTTCATGCTTCTTGTCATTTATCATGATTCATACAACATGAGTTTCATTCATTCATTCATTCATTCATTCATTCATTCATTCATTCATGTTATGTGAGCTTCATTCATTCATGTTATGTGAGATTAATTCATTCATGTTATGTGAGATTCATTCATTCATTTTGATTATTCATGTTATATGAGTTTCATTCATTCATTCATTCATTCATGTTATGTGAGTTTCATTCATTCATTCATTCATTCCGGGTGAGCAAAGGTGGTCCAAAGGCACTGCTGTGTTCTCTGCTGAGTTGCCTCCCTTGCAACAATCGGCTGCTTGTGGGTTCCCAGATCAGCTAGTTGTGATCAAGCAGCAAGACCCACTCTCTCTCATTCATTATTGGGGGAATAATCAGGGTGGATAAACATATTTGTGGATCTAGCTGTTTAAATTTGAATCTTTTCCTTTGTGAGGCATATATTCAAATCCACACTACACAACATGTACTTTCTGTTTCTCTTCAACGAACTGAGGTGTCAGCTTCTGTGTCAGTTTAATGATATAATCTCAAATCATGTGTCACAAATCTGCACTACACAACATTTTGTGTCACCAGCATGACGATTGTTTTTGGAGTTCACTCATTATAAAATATGTGTTAAACCATTTTGTAGCATCTCTTGCACCATCCCTACAACCTTCATATGAACAAAAACAAGAGGCCTCAACATGCTCAAGTAGAAGCAGAAGAGGTCATTCACCTTCACCAATTCACCAGGGGGAATCCTCTTACATGTCCTCACACAACTCACTCAGTGACCTGTGTTGTCATGCTGCCCTCGGGGCGGTCGGGTAGCCTAGTGGTTAGAGCGTTCGATCGTCACGACGAAGACCCGGGTTCGATTCCCAACATATTCAAATCATGTGTCCCAAATCACACACCTCTATAGTGACACATCACACACCTCTACAGTAACACATCACACACCTCAGTAGTGACATATCACTCACCTCTATAGTGATACATCACACACCTCAATAGTGATACATCACACACCTCTGTAGTGATACATCACACACCTCTATAGTGACACATCACACACCTCTACAGTAACACATCACACACCTCAATAGTGACATATCACTCACCTCTATAGTGTCACATCACACACCTCTATAGTGATACATCAAACACCTCTATAGTGACACATCACACACATCTATAGTGACACATCACACACCTCTATAGTGACACATCACACACCTCTACAGTAACACATCACACACCTCAATAGTGACACATCACTCACCTCTATAGTGACACATCACACACCTCTATAGTGATACATCACACACCTCTATAGTGACACATCATACACATCTATAGTGACACATCACACACCTCTATAGTCATACATCACAGAGATCAATAGTGACATATTACTCACCTCTACAGTAACACATCACATACCTCAATAGTGATACATCACACACCTCTATAGTGATACCACACACACCTCTATAGTGATACATCATACACCTCTATAGTGATACATCACACACCTCTACAGTAGAACATCACACACCTCTATAGTGACACATCACACACCTCTATAGTGACACATCACACACCTCTATAGTGATACATCACACACTTCTATAGTGACACATCACACACCTCTATAGTGACACATCACACACCTCTATAGTGATACATCACACACCTCTATAGTGATACCACACACACCTCTATAGTGACACATCATACACATCTATAGTGACACATCACACACCTCTATAGTCATACATCACAGAGATCAATAGTGACATATTACTCACCTCTACAGTAACACATCACACACCTCTATAGTGATACATCACACACCTCTATAGTGATACCACACACACCTCTATAGTGATACATCATACACCTCTATAGTGATACATCACTCACCTCTATAGTAACACATCACACACCTCTAAAGTGATACATCACACACCTCTATAGTGACACATCACACACATCTATAGTGACACATCACACACCTCTATAGTGACACATCACACACCTCTATAGTGATACATCACACACCTCTATAGTGACACATCACCCACCTCTATAGTGACACATCACACACCTTTATAGTGATACATCACACACCTCTATAGTGACACATCACACACATCAATAGTGATACATCAGACACCTCTACAGTAGCACATCACACACCCCTACAGTGACACATCACACACCTCTATAGTGACACATCACACACCTCTATAGTGATACATCCACACCTCTACAGTAGAACATCACACACCTCTATAGTTATACATCACACACCTCTACAGTGATACATCACACACCTCTATAGTGATACATCACACACTTCTATAGTGACACATCACACACCTCTATAGTGACACATCACACACCTCTATAGTGATACATCACAGACTTCTATAGTGACACATCACACACCTCTAAAGTGACACATCACACACCTCTATAGTGATACATCACACACTTCTATAGTGACACATCACACACCTCTATAGTGACACATCACACACCTCTATAGTGATACATCACACACCTCTTCAGTGACACATCACACACCTCTATAGTGACACATCACACACCTCTATAGTGATACATCACACACCTCTTCAGTAGCACATCACACACCTCTATAGTGACACATCACACACCTCTACAATAGCACATCACACACCTCTATAGTGATACATCACACTCTTCTATAGTGACACATCACACACCTCTATAGTGATACATCACACACCTCTATAGTGATACATCACACACCTCTACAGTAACACATCACACACCTCTATAGTGATACATCACACACCTCTATAGTGATACATCACACACCTCTACAGTAACACATCACATACCTCTATAGTGACACATCACACACCTCTATAGTGATACATCACACACCTCTACAGTAGAACATCACACATTTCTATAGTGACACATCACACACCTCTATAGTGACACATCACACACCTCTATAGTGACACATCACACACCTCTATAGTGAAGCATCACACACCTCTATAGTGATACATCACACACCTCTATAGTGATACATCACACACCTCTATAGTGATACATCACACACCTCTACAGTTACACATCACACACCTCTATAGTGACACATCACACACCTCTATAGTGATAAATCACACACCTCTATAGTGACACATCACACACCTCTATAGTGAAGCATCACACACCTCTATAGTGATACATCACACACCTCTATAGTGATACATCAGACACCTCTACAGTAGCACATCACACACCTCTATAGTGACACATCACACACCTCTATAGTGATACATCACACACCTCTATAGTGATACAAAAGACACCTCTACAGTAACACATCACACACTTCTATAGTGACACATCACACATCTCTATCGTGATACATCACACACCTCTATAGTGATACATCACACACCTCTATAGTGATACATCACGCACCTCTATAGTGATATATCACGCACCTCTATAGTGATACATCTCACACATCAATAGTGACAAATCACACACCTCTATAGTGACACATCACACACCTCTAAAGTGACACATCACACACCTCTATAGTGATACATCACACACTTCTATAGTGACACATCACACACCTCTATAGTGACACATCACACACCTCTATAGTGATACATCACACACCTCTAAAGTGATACATCACACACCTCTATAGTGATACATCACACACCTCTATAGTGATACATCACACACCTCTACAGTAACACATCACACACCTCTATAGTGACACATCACACACCTCTATAGTGATACATCACACACCTCTATAGTGATACATCAGACACCTCTTCAGTAGCACATCACACACCTCTATAGTGACACATCACACACCTCTATAGTGATACATCACACACTTCTATAGTGAGACATCACACACCTCTATAGTGATACATCACACACCTCTATAGTGATACATCACACACCTCTACAGTAACACATCACACACCTCTATACTGCCACATCACACATCTCTATAGTGATACATCACACACCTCTATAGTGATACATCACACACCTCTACAGTAACACATCACATACCTCTATAGTGACACATCACACACCTCTATAGTGATACATCACACACCTCTACAGTAGAACATCACACACCTCTATAGTGACACATCACACACCTCTATAGTGATACATCACACACTTCTATAGTGACACATCACACACCTCTATAGTGACACATCACACACCTCTATAGTGACACATCACACACCTCTATAGTGACACATCACACACCTCTATAGTGACACATCACACACCTCTATAGTGATACATCACACACCTCTATAGTGACACATCACACACCTTTATAGTGATACATCACACACCTCTATAGTGATACATCAGACACCTCTACAGTAGCACATCACACACCTCTATATTGACACATCACACACCTCTATAGTGATACATCACACACCTCTAAAGTGATACATCACACACCTCTACAGTAACACATCACACACTTCTATAGTGACACATCACACACCTCTATGGTGATACATCACACACCTCTATGGTGATACATCACGCACCTCTATAGTGATACATCACACACCTCTACAGTAACACATCACACACTTCTATAGTGATACATCACACACCTCTATGGTGATACATCACGCACCTCTATAGTGATACATCACACACCTCTACAGTAACACATCACACACTTCTATAGTGATACATCACACACCTCTATGGTGATACATCACACACCTCTATAGTGATACATCACACACCTCTATGGTGATACATCACACACTTCTATAGTGATACATCACGCACCTCTATAGTGATACATCACACACCTCTATAGTGATACATCACACACCTCTATGGTGATACATCACACACTTCTATAGTGACACATCACACACCTCTATAGTGATACATCACGCACCTC